CTCAGTTTCCCTGTGGAATAACCCGCCCGTGCCTCAGTTTCCCCCACCCGTGCCTCAGTTTCCCTCATCACTGGGAATTCTGTCCCGGCCCAGAAAATCCGGGAATTCCCGGGATTTCGGGGACACCCGGGGCTGCTCCGGGAATTCTCCGTCCCCTCCCCCGGCTGGGCCCGAGGTCCCGAATTCCCGATCCCAAAATAGCTCCGGGCGCGGGGGGAGCGCGGGCAGCGGGGCGGGAGCCCGGGACGGGCCGGGAAAACGGGCTGGGAATCCCGGGAAAACGGGGATGGAAATCCCGGGAAAATGGGGTCGGAAATCCCGGGAAAATGGGATGGAAATCCCGGGAAAACGGGGGTGGCATTGGGAGGATTTTTTTGGGAGAAGTTGGGGGGAAAAAAAGGAACAAAAAATCCCGAGTTTGATGAGAGGGAAATGGGGAGGGGAAAATTTAAATATGGGGGGGAAATTTAAAAATGGGGAAAAAAAATTAAAATAGGGGGAAAAAAAATTTAAAAATGGGGGAAAAAAATTAAAAATGGGGGAAAAAATTTAAAATTGGGAAAATTTTTAAAATGGGGGAAAAATTTTAAAAATGGGGGGAAATGCAAAGATGGGAAAAAATTAAAAAATGGGGAAAAAAATTTAAAATGGGGGAAAAAAAATTTAAAATGGGGGAAAAAAATTTAAAATGGGGGAAAAAATCGCTGGAACCGTTCCCCCCTTCCAGGAGCTGCAGCCTCATTAGCGATGTCTTAATGAGACGTCGCTAATTAATGGGATTGGCGGCCTCGGATCGGGAGAGGCGGCCCCGGGGGGAGGGAGGGACCGCCCTGCCTCAGTTTCCCCCATGGAATAACCCGCCCGTGCCTCAGTTTCCCCCACCCGTGCCTCAGTTTCCCTCATCACTGGGAATTCTGTCCCGGCCCAGAAAATCCGGGAATTCCCGGGATTTCGGGGACACCCGGGGCTGCTCCGGGAATTCTCCGTCCCCTCCCCCGGCTGGGCCCGAGGTCCCGAATTCCCGATCCCAAAATAGCTCCGGGCGCGGGGGGAGCGCGGGCAGCGGGGCGGGAGCCCGGGACGGGCCGGGAAAACGGGCTGGGAATCCCGGGAAAACGGGATGGAAATCCCGGGAAAAAGGGGATGGAAATCCCGGGAAAACAGGGTCAGAAATCCCGGGAAAACGGGGTCAGAAATCCCGGGAAAACGGGCTGGGAATCCCGGGAAAAAGGGGATGGAAATCCTGGGAAAATGGGGGTGGAAATCCCAGGAAAATGGGATGGAAATCCCGGGAAAACGGGGATGGAAATCCCGGGAAAATGGGGTCGGAAATCCCGGGAAAATGGGATGGAAATCCCGGGAAAACGGGGGTGGCATTCCCGGGAAAATGGGGATGGAAATCCTGGTAAAATGGGACCAGAATTCCCAGGAAAACGGGGCTGGAAATCCCAGTAAAATGGGACCAGAATTCCCAGGAAAACGGGGTCGATCCCTGGCGAAAGAGGATCCCAAATCCCCACCGGGATGGGACCCCCCATTCCCTGCACTGCCGGGGTCTCCAGCTCGGGACCCCTCCCCATCCCATCCCATCGATCCCATCCCACTGATCCCATCCCGTCCCATGGACCCCACCCCATCCCATCCAATCTAACCCCATTCCGTCCCATAAATCCCATAAATCTCATCCCAGTGATCCCATCCCATGGGTCCCACAAGTCCCATCCCATCAATCCCATCCCATGGATCCCATAAATCCCATAAATCCCATCCCATGGACCCCAGAAATTCCATCCCAGTGATCCCATCCCATAGGTCCTGCAAGTCCCATGCCATAAATCCCATAAATCCCATCCCATCCCATGGATCCCATCCCATAAATCCCATAAATCCCATGGATCCCATCCCATGGATCCCATCCCACCAATCCCATGGATCCCCTGGAAGCCGGGGAAGAGCTTTTTTATTTGATTATTTTATATATTTTATTTTTTTTTTTTTAGAACTCTCCTCCCCCCCAGCCTGTTTTGGGTTTGGGTTTTTTATTTTGTTTTATTTTTTGTTTTGTTGTTTCACACAAAAATAGCAGCGAGCAGCTCGGGAAGGGAAGAGGGGAAAGGCTTCAAATGTAAAACCTCGAGGAGAGGGGAGGGAGGAGGGAGAGATCAAACAGGGAGGGAGGAAAAAGGCCAAAAATGGGGAAAATGGGGGGAATGTGGAAGAAAATGGGGAGAAATGGGGAAAAGGGGGGAAAATGGGGAAAAATGGGGGGAATGTGGAAGAAAATGGGGAGAAATGGGGAAAAAGGGGGAAAATGGGGGGAAAAGGGGGGAATGTGGAAGAAAATGGGGAGAAATGGGGAAAAGGGGGAAAAAAGGGGAAAAAAGGGGGGAATGTGGAAGAAAATGGGGAGAAATGGGGAAAAGGGGGAAAAAAGGGGAAAAAAGGGGGGAATGTGGAAGAAAATGGGGAGAAATGGGGAAAAGGGGGAAAAAAGGGGAAAAAAGGGGGGAATGTGGAAGAAAATGGGGAGAAATGGGGAAAAGGGGGAAAAAAGGGGAAAAAAGGGGGGAATGTGGAAGAAAATGGGGAGAAATGGGGAAAAGGGGGAAAAAAGGGGAAAAAAGGGGGGAATGTGGAAGAAAATGGGGAGAAATGGGGAAAAGGGGGAAAAAAGGGGAAAAAAGGGGGGAATGTGGAAGAAAATGGGGAGAAATGGGGAAAAGGGGGAAAAAAGGGGAAAAAAGGGGGGAATGTGGAAGAAAATGGGGAGAAATGAAGGGGGGAGAAAAGGGGGGAAAAAGGGGAAAAAAGTGGGGGAATGTGGAAGAAAGTGGGGAGAAATGGGGGGAAAGGGGGAAAATGGGGGAAAAATTGAAAAAATAGGGGGAACGCAGGGACAGCCGGGGACAGGGGGACAGAGGGGACAGAGGGACACCGGAGGGACACGGGGACACGGGGGGACACGGGGAGCTCCCTCAGGGTCCTGGCTCTGCCCGGTTTGGGGACATCGCCGTGGGGCCAGCAGGGTTTGGGGACAGGGGGACATCGCCGTGGCGGCTTTGGGGACAGGTTTGGGGACAGGGGGACATCGCCGTGGCGGCTTTGGGGACAGGTTTGGGGACATCCCCGCGGGCACAGGCACGTGCTGCCACACGGGAGGGGACGGCGGTGACAAAGGGGGGGGCACAGCGGCACGAGGGCACCGCGGTGACAGGGGCGGCGCGGTGCCAGCGCTGGGGGGCACACGGTGACACGGAGGGACACGGCAGCCAGGCGCCACCCCGTGCCCGTCCCCCCGCGGGGCCGCCGCTGTCACCTCGGCGCAGTGTCACCACCCAAACAAAGCCGTGCCACCGCCGTGCCACCGCCCGGCGACACCGCAGGGGTGGCACCGCCACCTCCCCCCTCCCCATCCCGCTCCCTGCCAGGGGAGGGGGGACGGGGACAGTGGCAGGAGGTGGCTCCGGTGTGACAATGGCCACCAGCCCCCGGCGGGGCTTGTCACCGCGGCTGGCGCGGGGGGTGGCACTGCGGGGGTGGCACTGGGAGGGTGGCACTGGCACTGGGGGGTGGCACTAGCACTGGGAGGTGGCACTGGCACTGGGAGGGTGGCACTGGCACTGGGAGGTGGCACTGGGAGGTGGCACTGGCACTGGGAGGTGGCACTGGCACTGCGGGGACCCGGCGCTGGCGTCTCAGCCTTGGGGACAACGCGCGGGGACACAGGGAGGGTGGCACGCCGGGCAGGGGCCACCAGGGCCAGCTCGGGCAGGGGACAGCGACACCGGGAACGGCGGCACGGGTGGCGCAGGGTGCGACATCCCCGGCTGTGCCCGGCTCTCCCCGGTGTCCCCCAAAACTCGGGGCCGTTCTGGGCTGGGTTGGTGCCATCCCGGTGCCCGTTTTCCCCTCGATCTCCCCCAAAATCCCGGTGCCCGCGGCTCCCCCCGCCCCTCTCCTCTCCCTCCCCCCTTTGATCTCGCCCCGCTCCATCCCGCCCCCGTTTCTCCTTCATCTTCCCCCAAAATCCCCGCAGCCGCCGCCCCCCCGTGGCGCGGGGGTGGCACCGGGGCACCCCGGGCCGGCGGCGGCGGTGGCTGTCCCCAAACACCGCAGGGAGGGAGCGCGACCCTCTCACGGGCAATTCCCGGGGGTCCCGGGGGTCCCATCCCGGGGATTCGGGGGTGTCCAACCTCGGGGATCCCTGGATTCCCCACCCCGGGGATCCCAGGATTCTCCATCCCAGGGATTTGGGGCTCTTTTATCCCGGGGTTCCCTGGATTTCCCATCCCGGGGTTCCCTGGATTCCCCATCCCGGGAGGAGCAGCAGACACCCCCACACGAGGATCTGGGGGGGATTTTGGGGGATTTTGGAGCCGCCGGGGGTTTCATTTTCGGGATCAGAAGCAGGAGGGCCCCGCAGCCCGCGGATTTTGGGGATTCAGGAGGAGAGGAGAGGTGCGGGGCGGGCACCCCGCGCTGTGCCGTGCCGTGCCGTTCCGTGCCACATTCCGGAATAAAACCCGGGAGAAGCGGGGGTCGCGCTGCCCGCCCCCTGCCCCAGGGCACCCCGAGCCCTCCCCCGCTGGGAGGGGGGACCCGGGGGTGGCACCCACGGGGCAGGGCTGAAGGGCACCTGGGAAAGGGGCGGTGGCTCTGGGGGTGTCCCTGTGTGACTTCCAGTGCTGGCCCCACACATCCCACCTGGGCGTGGGATGGGGGTGTCCCTGTGGGGTGGGGGTGTCCCTATGGGATGGGAGTGTCCCCATGTGTGACCCATAGGATTGGGATTTCCCTGTGGGGTCGCGGTGTCCCTGTGGCATTGGTGTCCCTGTGGCATTGGTGTCCCTGTGGGATTGAGATTTCCCTGTGGGATTGGTGTGTCCCTGTGGGGTCGTGGCGTCCCCGTGGCGCTGGTGTCCCTGTGGGGTCAGGGTGTCCCCGTGGGGTCGCGGTGTCCCCGTGGCGCTGGTGTCCCCGGGTGACGCCGCGCCGTCCCCGCAGCGTGGCCCCGGTACCGCATCGTGGGCACGGCCGACTCGGGCCAGTACAACCTGGAGATCCGCGACGCCGAGCTCTCCGATGACGCCGTCTACGAGTGCCAGGCCACCGAGGCCGCGCTGCGCTCGCGCCGCGCCAAGCTCACCGTGCTCAGTGAGGGCTGGCCCCGGTGCCACGCACGGGCCCCGGTGTCCCCCATGGTCCCGTGTCCCCAGCGTCCCACACGGTTCCCAATGCCCCACACAGTCCTGTGTCCCCCATGTCCCACATGGCCCCCAGTGCCCCACATGCTCCCATGTCCCCCATGGTCCCGTGTCCCCAATGTCCCACCCAGTCCCCAGTGCCCCACACGGTCCCCAATGCCCCACATGCTCCCGTGTCCCCCACGTCCCCCATGGTCCCGTGTCCCCAGTGTCCCACACAGTCCCGTGTCCCCAATGTCCCACACGGTCCCCAATGTCCCACACGGTCCCCAATGCCCCACATGCTCCCGTGTCCCCCACGTCCCCCATGGTCCTGTGTCCCCAGTGTCCCACCCAGTCCCATGTCCCCCATGGTCCCGTGTCCCCCATGTCCCCTATGGTCCAGTGTCCCCAATGCCCCACACGGTCCTGTGTCCCCAATGTCCCTCCCTGTGTCCTCCAGAGCCTCTCACGTCCCCTCACCATTCCCTGTGCCCCACAGTCCCCAGTGTCCCCTCCCCATCCCGGTGTCCCCTCCCGAGCCGGTGTCCCCTCTGTCCCCCCCGCAGTCCCCCCGGAGGACCCCACGATCGACGGCGCCCCCGAGATCCTGCTGAGGGCGGGGACCCCCTACAACCTGACGTGCCGCGCCCGCAGCGCCAAGCCCGCGGCCACCATCGCCTGGTTCCGCGACGGGCAGCAGCAGGACGGGGCTGTCACCAGCACGGTGGCATTGGCCCCGCTCGGGGTCCCCAGAGTCCCCAGAGCTGTCACCCTGTGTCCCCGTCCCCTCTGTCCCCCCTCGTCCCCCGTCACCATCGCCTGGTTCCGTGACGGGCAGCAGCAGGATGGCGCTGTCACCAGCACGGGATGGGGACACCGCAGTGTGGTGGCCGTCCCCTCCTGGTGTCCTCAGTCCCCCTAGAGCTGTCCCCTGCCGGTGTCCCCAGAGCTGTCCCTGTCCCGCAGGAGCTGTCCCTGCCGGTGTCCCCAGCCCCTGTCCCAGCCCCTGTCCCTGTCCCTGCCGGTGTCCCCAGAGCCGTCCCTGTCCCGCAGGAGCTGCTGGCCGATGGCAAGCGCGAGAGCACCACGAGCCTGCTGGCCATCACCCCCACGGACCTGGACATCGGCCGCGTCTTCTCCTGCCGCAGCTCCAACGAGGCCGTGCCCGCGGGAAAGGAGACCTTCGTCAGGCTCAACGTGCACCGTCAGTGCCACCCGCGCCCCACCGCGACACCGCGACGGGGACAGGGACACGGGGACACCGGGACGGGGACAGGGACAGGGACGTGGGGACACCGGGATGGGGACAGGGACGTGGGGACACCGGGACGGGGACAGGGACACGGGGACACCGGGACAGGGACAGGGACACTGGGGACACCGGGACGGGGGACGGGGACACTGGGGATAGGGGACACCGGGGAAACCAAGGACACGGGGACACGGGAACAGGGACAAGGGGACAGGGACATGGGGACACCAGGGATACGGGACATGGGGACACAGGGACATGGGGACACGGGGGCACCGGCACACCAGGGACACAGGACACAGGGACACAGGGACACAGGACACGGGGACACCAGGACAGTGGGACACAGGACACAGGACACGGGAACACCAGGACATGGGGACATGGGGACACTGGGGGTGAAAGGGGCGGGGAGGTGGATGGGGATTTGGGGGCATTTTGGGGGATTTGGGGGGTATTTTGGGGGATGTTTGGGGTGTCGCAGGGGGGAGCGGCGTCTGTGGATGGGAATTGCGGGAGGGGGAAGAGGAGGAAGGGGAGGAAGAGGAGGAGGAGGAGGAGGCAGGGCCGGCTCTCGGTGGCCAACACCGACCTCCGGTGGCTGCCGCGGGAAGGGGCGGCCACCGGCGGGAGGGGACAGCGGGTGACAGCCCCAGGGAGCGCCCGCGGGTCCCCACGAGGCCGGGACGGAGCTTGGGGGACCCCCGGGTGTCCCCCCGAGCCCCCCTGATCCCACCCTGTCCCCACAGACCCCCCGACGGTGACCCTGTCCATCCAGCCCCAGACGGTGCAGGAGGGCGAGCGCGTCGTGTTCACCTGCATGGCCACGGCCAACCCCGAGATCAAGGGCTACAGGTGACCCCAAAACCCGCGCCACGGGGCTGGCGTCACCTGGGGTCACACAGTGTCCCCCCCCAGCTCTGTGCCCCCTCCCCTTCCCAAAACCCCTGGGATTGGGGCTGGGGTCACTCGGGGTCACACAGTGTCCCCCCCCGGCTCTGTGCCCCCTCCCCTTCCCAAAACCCCTGGGATTGGGGCTGGGGTCACACAGTGTCCCCCCCCCGGCTCTGTGCCCCCTCCCCTTCCCAAAACCCCTGGGACTGGAAATCGGGATTGGAAACTGGGATTGGAAATTAGGATTGGGGTCAAATGTCCCCACCCTGGCTCTGTGTCCCCTCCCCAAAACCCACTGGAAATGGGGATTGGGATTTAGGATGGGGATCGGGGTCCCACAGTGTCCCCAGATGTCCCCAACATGGGGGCCAAAGGGGGGTGATCGGGAATTAGGATTGGGGTCCCACGGTGTCCCTGAATGTCCCCAGCATGGCTCTGTGTCCCCTCCCCAAAACCCTTTGGAAATGGGTTTTGATGGAATGGTGACTGGGATTGGGATTTAGGATCAGGATTGGGATTTAGAATGGGGATTGGGATTTCAGATGAGGACCTGGATTTCGGATGGGGATAGGGATTTAGGATCAGGATCAGGGTCCCACAATGTCCCCAGATGTCCCCAGCATGGCTCTGTGTCCCCTCCCCAAAAACCCCTGGGAATGGTGATCAGGACTGAGAATTAGGATGGGGATTGGGAATTAGGATCAGGATTGGGATTTTGGATCAGTATTGGGGTCCCACGGTGTCCCTGAATGTCCCCAGCATGGCTCTGTGTCCCCTCCCCAAAACCCTTTGGAAATGGCGATTGGGATTGGGATTTAGGATTGGGATTGGGATTTGGAACGGGGATCGGGGTTTAGGATGGGGATCGGGGTCCCACAATATCGTGGGTTGGGATTGGGATTCCCACGGGAATGATTTAGGGCCAGGCCGCCGAGCTTTGGGGCGCGTCCCGTGTCCTTCCCGGCCGTCCCCAAGCGTCCCCCCGGCCCCGCAGGTCCTGAGCAACAGCAACCAGCTGTACCTGAAGTCGGTGACGCAGGCGGACGCCGGCCAGTACGTCTGCAAGGCCATCGTGCCCCGCATCGGCGTGGGCGAGAGGGAGGTCACGCTCTTCGTCAACGGTCAGCGCCCCAAAAACCTGAAACCGCCCCAAAACTGCCTGGGGTTCCCTGGGGCGTCCCCAAAAACCCCCAAAACCTCCTGGGATTCCCTGGGATTCCATGGGGCATCCCCAAAAACCCCCAAAACCTCCTCGGATTCCCTGGGATTCCATGGGGCATCCCCAAAAACCCCAAAACCTCCTGGGATTCCCTGGGGCGTCCCCAAAAACCCCAAAACCACCCCAAAACCGCCTGGGGTTCCATGGGGCGCCCCCAAAAACCCCAAAACCGCCCCAAAACCTCCTGGGATTCCCTGGGATTCCATGGGGCGTCCCCAAAAACTCCCCAAAACCTCCTCGGATTCCCTGGGGTGTCCCCCAAAACCCCAAAAACGTCCCCAAACCTCCTGGGGTTCCATGGGGCACCCCAAAACCTCCTGGGATTCCCTGGGATTCCCTGGGGCGTCCCCAAAAACCCCGAAACCACCCCAAAACCTCCTCGGATTCCCTGGGGCGTCCCCAAAAACCCCAAAACCCCCCCAAAACCTCCTGGGATTCCATGGGGCGTCCCCAAAACCTCCTCGGATTCCCTGGGGCGTCCCCCCAAAAATTCTCCCGTTTTTGGTCGGGGGAGGCAGAGGGAGTTTGAGGTTTTACGGATTGGGGTGGCTGGGATTGGGGGGGGAACAGAATTTGGGGTTTTTGTTGGGTTTGGGACTGAGGATTGAGGGAAAGGGTGAAATGGGATCATGGGAAGGGAATAAATCCTGAAAAGGGATTTTCCACACCATCCCTCCTTCCAGGGAGACAATGGGGGGGCAGGAATTCCAGGAATTTCAACCTGGAATTTCCTGTGGGAGGTTCTCCCAATTCCAGCTAAAACTGGGGATTTTATCCCCCTCAAACCCCTGAGCCCGAGCCTTTCCCCCAATTCCAGCGAAAACTGGGAATTTTATCCTCCAATCCCTCACTCCTGACCTGGACACAGCTCCAGGAATTTCCTCTGCTTGGATCCCCCCTGGGACACCCCAAATCCCCGATTTCTCTCCCAGCCCACCCCAAATTCCCAATTTCCCCCCTGGGTCACCCCAAATTCCCATTCCCCCACTGGAACACCCCAAATATTCCCAATTTTTCCTCCCAGACCACCCCAAATCCCCGATTCTCCCCCAGACCACCCCAAATCCCCGATTCTCCCCGGACCACCCCAAATATCCCCATTTCCCCCTTGGATCACCCGGAATCCCCAATTCCCCATCCCTGACCACCCCGAATCCCCGATTCCCCATCCCTGACCACCCCAAATCCCCGATTCCCCATCCCTGATCACCCCAAATCCCCGACTCCCCATCCCTGACCACCCCGAATCCCCCTGCCAGGCCCCCCGATCATCTCCAGCGAGCCGGTGCAGTTCGCCGTGCGCGGCGACCGCGGCAAGGTCGAGTGCTTCATCGGCAGCACGCCGCCGCCCGACCGCATCGTGAGTCCTGCCAGACCCCAAACTTCACAAATAAAACAACTTCACTCCAAAATATCCCTGAATTTTGTCATTAAATAGCCATTTGAATTAATATTTTAATATAAAATACATCGTAATACATCTAATATTCTATCTAATACAATAATCTATCCCATATTGCTATATGTCAATATAAATAATATATATTGATAATATATAAATAATATATATTAATAACATATGAACAATAAATATATATTAATATACATAATTAAGTATGTCGTGGGGTTGTACTCATCTATTAAGTATAATCTGTAAATGTAAAATGAATAATATGAAATAGTGTAGAATAAATAGGTAAATAAATAGGCAATATTTAAGAAATTTATACAATTATTTCTAAATATAAATGGAATTATTTTATAAAGATATATTACAGTTAATGTGTATTAATATGTATTTATCATTTACAAATATCAAACTGATTAAATACAACATAAATAAATATAAAATATAAAATAGTATACTCATATTTATCATAAATATGTAAATAAATATAAATATCTATATAGTATAATAAATAAATATAAAGTAATATTAACAAATCTCTGTATTTATGAAATTATTTATAAAATTATTTATAAATATAAAATAGGTTAATTCATAACAAAAATACAACTAATATACATTGATATATATACTTAGAATATATAAATTTAGATATAAATTTATATATTCTAAGTATAGATATATATATATATACAAATAAATATAACTTAGAATTCATAAACAGAAAACAAACAAATAATATAAAATAATACAAAATTAAATCACGATGACTGTATTAATATCAGAATAATCCACAACCCCCAATTTAAACAGAATAAAACGAGCTCAGGGCTATTTCAGCCAATGCTGAGCCCCCCCTGCAGGCGTGGGCGTGGAAGGAGAACATTCTGGAAGCGGGCACGCTGGAGCGCTACACGGTGGAGAGGAGCAACACGGGCAGCGGCGTGCTGTCCACGCTGAGCATCCAGAACGTCGTGGACGCCGACTTCCAGACGCGCTACAACTGCACGGCCTGGAACAGCTTCGGGCCCGGCACGGCCATCATCCAGCTCGAGGAGAAAGGTGACACAGGACAGAGCCTGGGGACAGTTGGGTGGCCTTGAGATGGATTGGGTTGGGACAAACTTGGGCCCGGCACCGCCATCATCCAGCTCGAGGAGAAAGGTGACACCGGCAGGGAGCCTGGGGACAGCTTTGCATGACCTTGAGTTGGGTTGGGTTGGGACAAACTTGGGCCCGGCACCGCCATCATCCAGCTCGAGGAGAAAGGTGACACGGGACAGAGCTTGGGGACAGTCTGGGTGGCCTTGAGTTGGGTTGGGACAAACTTGGCCAGGCATGGCCGTCATCCAGCTTGATGAAAAAGTGACACCGGCAGGGAGAATGGGGACAGTCTGGGTGACAGGGAATGGCCTTGAGTTGGGTCAAGTTGGGACAACTTTGTTTTGGGCAAAGGTGACACTGGCAGGGAGCTTGGGGACAATTTGGGTGACCTCCAGTTGGGTTGGACTGGGACAAACTTGGGCCAGACATGGCCATCATCCAGCTCGAGGAGAAAGGTGACACCTGCAGGGAGCTTGGGGACAGTTGGGTGGCCTCGGGTTGGAAATTCGGGGGAATTCCTCCTGGAAAAGGTGGATGGGGTTGGGCTCTCCGAGGAATTCCTGGAATTGTGGGTGACCAGCTGGGGCTCGGTCCCATCTTGGACTTGGGGACCCCCCAACTCCTCTCCGCGCCGAGCTGCGGGGCACGCCGGGAGGAGAGGCCTGGCTGTGGCACTGCCCCGTCCCCAAGCGGCCGTGTCCCCGCAGAGGTCCTGCCCGTGGGCATCATCGCCGGGGCCACCATCGGGGCCAGCATCCTCCTCATCAGCTGCCTGGTGGCCCTCGCCTGCTTCCTGTACCGGCGCCGCAAAGGAAGTGAGTGGGGACAGCGGGGTCACGCAGGTAGATATATATATATATACGGGGTCACTCCATGGTCACTCAGTGGTCACTCTGTGGTCACTCTGTGGTCACTTCATGGTCACTTCGGGTGTCTCTGTGGGGTCACTTCATGGTCACTCTGTGGTCACTGGGTGTTTCTATGGGGGTCACTCAAGGGTCACTCCGGATGTCTCTTTTGGGGTCACTTCATGGTCACTCTGTGGTCACTCTGGGTGTCTCTTTTGGGGTCACTTCATGGTCACTCTGTGGTCACTTTGTGCTCACTCCGTGCTCACTCTGTGGTCACTCTGTGGTCACTCTGGGTGTCTCTATGGGGGTCACTCAGTGGTCACTCTGTGGTCATGCAGGGGTCACTCTGGGTGTCTCTGTGCTGGTCACTCAGTGGTCACTCTGTGGTCACTTCATGGTCACTCTGGGTGTCTCTTTGGGGGTCACTCCATGGTCACTCCATGGTCACTCCCTGGTCACTCTATGGTCACTCAGGGGTCACTCCGTGGTCACTCTGGGTGTCTCTTTGGGGGTCACTTCATGGTCATTCTGTGGTCACTTCATGGTCACTCAGGGATCACTCTGTGTGTTTCTATGGTGGTCACTCCATGGTCACTCCATGGTCACTCCATGGTCACTCAGTGGTCACTCAGGGGTCACTCCGTGGTCACTCTGGGTGTCTCTTTGGGGGTCACTCCGTGGTCACTCCGTGGTCACCCTGTGGTCACCCGGCAGGCCGCAAGGACGTCACGCTGCGCAAGCTGGACATCAAGGTGGAGACGGTGAACCGGGAGCCGCTGACGCTGCACGCAGACAGGGAGGAGGACACGGCCAGCGTGTCCACGGCCACCCGCGTCATGAAGGCCATCTACTCGGTGAGGGACACGGGGCACGCGGCCAGGCCGCGATCCGGGCGGGGAATTGTCACTGGGATGGCCGGGAGGCGCTGGCTCGGAGTGTTCCCAGCCCTGGGAGCGTCCCCAACGTTGGGAGTGTCCCCAGCCCGGGATTGTCCCCAACGTTGGGAGTGTCCCCAGCCCGGGATTGTCCCCAACGTTGGGAGTGTCCCCAGCCCGGGAGTGTCCCCAAGGCCCAGCTGGAGCCACCCGGGATGGTGGGAACGTCCCTGCCCTTGGATCTTTAAGGGTCTTTGGGGTCTTTTCCATCCCAAAGAATTCCAGCGGTCCCTGGGCCGGTTTAATGGGATTTTAGGGATCCGTCCTGGACCCATCCATGACCCTGTGCATTCCCCATTCCTGATTCCATGGATTCCATGATCCCATGGATTCCCCATCCCTGGAAGCGCCCAGCTCCACCTTGGATCCGCCTGGGCTATCGGGAGCCGCCCCTTCCCACCACGGGATGGGTCTCAAGGCTCCTCCCCGCCCACCCCATTCCGTAATTCCCCCATCCCTGACCCCATGGATTCCATGATCCCATGGATTCCGTGGCCCCATGGATTCCCCATCCCTGATCCCATGGATTCCCCATTCCTGATTCCATGGATTCCATGACCCCATGGATTCCATGACCCCATGGATTCCCCATCCCTGACCCCATGGATTCCCCATCCCTGACCCCATGGATTCCATGACCCCATGGATTCCATGACCCCATGGATTCCATGACCCCATGGATTCCATGACCCCATGGATTCCCCATCCCTGGAAGCGCCCAGCTCCACCTTGGATCCGCCTGGGCTATCGGGAGCCGCCCCTTCCCACCACGGGATGGGTCTCAAGGCTCCTCCCCGCCCACCCCATTCCGTAATTCCGTAATTCCACGTTCCCGTGGGTTTTCCAGTCGTTCAAGGATGACGTGGACTTGAAGCAGGACCTGCGCTGCGACACCATCGACACCCGCGAGGAGTACGAGCTCAAGGTCCGGTCCCGCCGGGATTTTAGGGTGGGGAGAGAGGGGCAGATCCCAAATCTTCTTCTTTTTTTTTTTTTCCCCCCCGGAATGGGTGGAAAACTCCAGGGATTTCAGGCATGAGGAGGTGGAATTGTTGGGAAGGAGGGGAAATTTTGGGAATGTGCAGCTTGGATCTCCGGGATCGGGGATGGGATCGCAGGGAAGGAAGGAGATGTTCTGAGGAGGGATTTGGGATGGATTTTAGGGAAAGAGGGGGTCAGGCTCTGGAGCATTCCCCAAGGGAATGGGCACGGCCCCAAAAATTCCAGGAGTGTCTGGACAAGGCTCCCAAGGGACAGGGTGGGATTTTGGATGATCTTGGTGTGTCCATTCCACCCTCGATATCCCGTAAATCCAAGAGATCCAGAATTCCATGAATCCAGCCCTGCCCTAGTCCCATCCCCCAGGAAATCCCGAAGAGTTCCCACCCCCCAAAACAATCCCAAGGAACTCCCACCCCCCAAAACAATCCCAAAGGACCCCCACCCTCCATTGCCGCGCCCCTC